CAGTTAGTTTTAGCTTGTATTTAGTTGTGCTTGGTGTCCATCTTGGTTACCCTTTGTGTTTTATTTATTATTTGGTTTGGCCAGGCCAATATACTATATATACAGTATTATGTCTTAAAGCTGCATTCTCTCTAGTGACCACCAGGGGGCGACTCCTCTGGTTGTATAGAAGTCTATGAGAAAATGACTCTACTTCTCTCTTGATTTATTACCTCAGTAAACATTGTAAACATGAGTTTATGGTCTCAATCTCTAGTTTCAAGTCTTCTTCAATACAGCATGATGTTCATTTAGTACATTATGGTCCATTTAGAGTCAAACAGACCATAAAGCAGGGGATGCTTTAGGGCGGGGCTACACAGTGATTGACAGGTCTCAACCAGAGACATATATGGCGTCTCTACGTCACTCCTCCTCAGTCCAGATATGGTCACTTCCTGTTCACTGGTTGCACAAATCCAAGATGGCGATGGCCAAAAGCCGAGGTCAAGGCTTCAAAACCGCAGACCACTAACCAATGCGTGACGTCACTGTTCACATTTTTAGCAGCATATGTTCATAACCTTTCTTTGACATCTGCATTACTCGGTGTGACGGTGAGATTTCAGAAAAACAGCACTTATTATTTCGGCAGCAAAAATCTGGAATCGCATGCAAAATGATCAGAGGAGGGAATTAAATTGACATGTGAGCTCCGTTTTCTAGGGAAAGACCCTGAGGTGTGAGATATCTAAATGAGATCATTTGTGCATTGTGTCTTTGAGCTGAATATTCATAACTTCCAAATCATGTGTGTCAAAGAGGGGGGGAATAAAGGTGCAAAAACTGCTTGGTTTTTTATTGTCATACATAACGTAATCCCCTTTAGTGAAAGAGACTCCCTGTCAGTCCTTTAAAAGAGGAACAAAGGGAGGAATAAAAATAAAATGAGCGCTAACAGGAAGAGCTTGTCCTCACTCGTGAGATAGAAACACATCATTCATCCTCCGTTCCCGTGGTGACGCCTCTTCCAGCTCCTCAACACTTCAATATAAGAGCTCTCACCTCAATCCTCTCTCTCTTTCTCCCCTCCTCCTTTTGTATATCGTTCTTCACTTCAATTTCTTTTCTCCCCCCCCCCCCCCCCCCCCCCCCCCCCCTTGTGTTCTCCCCCCCCCCCCCCCCCCCAGTCCTTGGTATCCTCCCCCTCTCTCTCTCATCTCATCCCCACATCCCCGCCCCTCAGTGTTCAGTGATTAATGCAAGTTTTAATTGTCATGCTCACTTTTATGCTCATTAAAGTGTATTATGCAGCAGTTAGGGTATTAAAGTTCAGCGAGAAATTTCATGCATACTGATGAGAATGCAAATGAGCCCAGCATGAAAAGATACTATGGTTTGTGTTGTGTGTGTGTGTGTGTGTGTGTGTGTGTGTGTGTGTGTGTGATTATCCCCAGGAGTGAGCCAGAGTGTCATTATCACCCCGTTCTAGCCTTCTTAGCTGAGCAGAGAGAGTCCATCCATGGAAATCATGTTAATGGGAGTCTTAAAGCATTCTTCATGCCTGAATACCTGAATAGTATTTAAAATATGATGTTGTATGTTGCAAGAAATGCTGCTTTTATTCAGTGACTTACAATAAACGCAGGTAGCCTTACTACGGGGCAGTATTATAGTATATGCACTTTTTTGGGGAAGTTTCAAGCAGCTATGTAGCAATAACTTGAATAATATCTGCTTCATTACTTTATGATTTATGCTAACATGCTGATGCTTAGCATGTAAACTGTTCACCATCTTAGTTGAGCATGAATGACAGTTGCTCATCAGCAGTGAACACAACATATAGCTGAGGCTGATTGTCATTAGTTTTGCAGATAATTACTCATAAACATTTGGACATTTGTCTCCTGATGACGGTGATAGACACACACAGGGAACCTTGGACTCTTTTGGGGGGTTTAGCATCCAGTTGGTGATCCAAACTTGCTTTTGGTGCAACATTCAAACATGACTAAGAGTCTGCATGAGGCTGTACTTTAGCACAGTGATGCTAAATGCTAACATGTTGACAATAACAGCTAGCATGTTGATGCTAAGTAGTGTTTTAAAATGGCAAGAAACAGCTTTAATTGCATTGCAATATATTTTCATTGACGTCAAACGTAAATTAATTGACTAATGTTCTTCTAAGTTGGTACGTTGTAAAAAGATTAGCATTCTCACTGTCATTCTGTAGTGCTGGCTGAATGTATGATGATTTGTTTCGCTCTGTTTCCTTTTATCTGACGTACAGGATGTGCTTTGTGACTCCGCTGCATCAGAATCATGTGAAGGCAAAGTAACAAGAACGAGAAGAAGACTCAATTCATCCTTTACTGTTGCCTGTGATGAGTCACTGTAAACCTGATTCAACTGTTTCCTGTTTGCAACAAAAGATACGTGGAAATAGCTTTGACATTTTACAATCATGTAGTGACACGAGTTTCAGAATTGTACAGGTAGTAACAGTAACAGTAGGGTTAGGGTAACAGTATTTGCTCAGAAAAGTCAAGAGCATCTCCAACGTCATTCACCCTAAGAGGGGGACGTCAATTGTTGCACTAAATTACAATCCATCCAATAGTTGTGAGATATTTCTCTCAAAACCACACACGTTAATAATTGTTGAGACATCTCAGTGTGGACGGACGATAGAAAGACAGCAGCAGCGTGGTGTAATAAATGAGGTGTCTCCGGGAAACGTGTGCACTCTCAGCGAAGCAAAGATGAGAACCGTATTAACATAATGAGCGTCTGAAATCTAAATGTATTACAATGAAGGAGAAATGCCTAAAAAGATGAATATAAACTCTGCCGTTAGAAGGCGATTGTCTCGTTCAGGACGGTGTGTCATGTGTGTGTCCGTGTTGTCGTCTTCCTCCTTCAGCCCACCTGCTGTTTCCACCACGCTGAGTGAATAGGCTCAGTCATTACCGCGCTGTCTGCAGGGTGGAATGAGACAATTGTAAAGATTTTCATCCAGGGGGCCTGAATCATTTACACAGCATGGAGCAGGGTGTGCTGAAATGAGGCTGCTGATGACTCTATCCTGCAGCAGCAGCAGGTGGTACTGTAAAAAAATACAAACAAGACAGAGGGACTCATCACAGTGACAAACAGAGTGTTTATGCACGAATGAAACTGTTTAAAATCATGACTTAAATGTTCCCCTGGTGGTGATCAAAAGGAGATTTCTAACATGTTTGACAGACAAAACGCCACATACTTTAAAGTGTTTGAGATAAACAAAGTATTATTGTGTGGATGGGATGTTAGGAGAAATTAATGTTTGCAGTCGTAGAATTTAACTATGTACAGTTACTCAAGTACTGTGTTCAAATTCAAGTTACTTTTACTTGAGTATTTTCATTGTTTGCCACTTTATACTTCTCCTTCTCCTCTACACCTCAGAGGTACATATTGTACTTTTTACTGTACTACAGCTCA